TACTTTTTATAAAATAAACATCGTCTGTTATAAGTTACCCATATGGCTTACCATGACCTGTGCTTTGGTCCAACTGATTTAAAGGTTGGGAATAAAAATAAATTTAGCTAGACAGGAAATCCCGGAAATTGTTGTGATAAATGGGGCTGGTGGAAGAATTTTCTTACTATACACTAAGGTGGAACAAACAGTTCACTCGACTACTAACTGAAAAGTTGCTGGTTCAAACCCACCAGAGGCATCTAGGAAGATCAGTCTGACAATCCACTTCCAAAGGGTCACAGCCTTGAAAACCCTGTGGAGTTCTACCTACACACCTGGGCTGCTCTACACACCTGTTGCAATCATGATGGCAACTAACAACAACAGCCTTCTGGCTATTTCCTCACTCCCCTTTTTTGATTCAGATAGGAACAGCAATCTAAACCCAAGTTTAGTTTAAAAGCTTCAAAACTGTTAAAGTCAAGTGACAAGTTACATTTTAAGCACCTTATTATCTCTAAGAGGTGAAGTGCCCAACGTCCCTGCTGGTTTTAAGGACTGGGCCTCTCCAAGGAAACAGTTCATCTCCGTTCAAGCTGGCTGCGCCTCCCTACATCCTCTTCTCTGAACTCTGGCTGGCTTTCCCAGCTTAAAGTCTCCAGCAATATTTCTGGTAAACCACAACTCTTATCAACCAGCCTCATTATCCTCAGGGACATATTAAATATCAGATTAAAACACAGCAGAATTGAACAAGCAATTATTTAGTTTACCTATTATTTCTAATGATTAGAGCTAGCCGATTTTTCACTTGCAGCAGTAAGAGATGAAGAGAAAAACGGAAATGAGTTCACCAGTTCTTACTCGATTTCCAGCAGTCTGGGCACAGGATGTGATCTGCAAGTTACATGATCCAAAGAATACAAAGAGAGACGCGAGCCAGGGCAACAGTTACCCTAGAGCATAGTCTAGATATCTTTTAAAAATACATTCTGTTCATCTCTTGAGATGTTTTCTCCAAGGTGGCTCCCCGTCACTCCAGCTATCACTGATTAAGGAACTCTGTGGATATTATAATGGGTTGAAGGAACACAAACAGAGATGACAGTGACCCATCAGTAAGGCATGGATTAGTTATGTT